TTAAACTTGGAAACAAAGGCCAGTGGATTGTTTTCAATTTTCTTTTTTTGGAATGACTATGACCTGGATTACTGAGAATCTTCACCAGCCATATTATAGTCCTATCTTTCAACCTTACACTCTCAAATGAAGAGAGAGGCAGAGCTGTCCACCAATCACCACCTGAAGGTGAGTTGGATACACTGGAAGAGGGGGAGAGTGGACAGACTCTGCAGGTAGTGGGACTGCCGAAAACCTCTGGCAGACCCTTCGATCAGGGACAGATTAAACTTCTACCTCTGTAAAAGCTTTTCTTAAATTTTGCAGGAGGCAGGAGACCTAGAGTCTGAGTGGACTATGTTCGCTACCTTCATTGTCAACAGCCACCCATAGCTGAGGCCAACACGCCTCTTCAACTTGCGTGGCAATTGGGGACAGTACCCCTGGGCTGGTAGACTTGGGTTCTCATCCATAAGAATGGAGACTGGAGGGTGTGTTCCCACTATAAGGGAATCACACTTCTCAGCCTCCCCATAAAAGCCAATGGCAGGGTGCTGGAGACGAGGTGACAGTTGAACCTCAGTTTTAGGAAGAGCAGCTTTACACCCTCTGCTCAAGGGTTAATGGGAGGTTGTCCAATCAGTCCACATGGATTTTATGGACCTGGAGAAGGCATTTGACTATTTTCCTCATGGTGTCCTGTTCTGCGCTACAGAAGTTCAGAGTTGGGGATCCTTTCTTAGGTGCCATCTTATCACTGTACAAGCAGAGCAGGAGTTTGTTGGCATTATGTCGGACCTGTTCCCGGTGCATATTGGACTCCAACAGGGTCTTTGTCACTGGTCCTGTTCATAAGCTTTAGGGACAGGATTTCTAGGCGCAGCCAAGGAGTCTGGTTTGGAGACCAGCGGATTCTCTCCCTGCTTTTTGTGGGTCAATGGGTCCTGCTTGCTCCTTTGTTCCAAGATCTAAAGCATGCACTGTGGCAGTCCCCAGCCAAGTGTAAGACCGGTCATACACTGTACAATATTTTCAATTGTTGTACCCAGCTACAGCTTAAACATACGAAAAAACTGCAGGGTTTAAAAGTTCACAGCTTACGATGTCTGATCTTACATTGTAAAGCCCGAAACTCTGATGCGATCTAAC